TCTGTGCTCGAGAACAGTAACAATTTGTGCTGAACCGTGTTAAGTATCAGGAAGTCATTGCTTCACCGCAGGTGTTATTGATGACAGGAAAACTTTGTCGCGTGGGGGGGGGGCACAACATAACTGCTGTCGTGCAGTAAAGCGGTTCACTTCCCTGAAGGAGTAGGTGCTTGTATATTCGAAACATTGAGTAAATGTTTGGTTTCAACGCATCGTTGACCTGTGTGGGACATAACCCTCTGTAGAACTGTCATGTTTAAACTGGACTTTTTTTAAAGGATTAAATAAAAACAGTCAGCTGTTTCCAGTCTTCATGCTAAACTAAGCTAAACTAAGCAGCTGCAGCTTCCTATTTAGCGTATATAAAGCAAGTAAGTGTATTTCACTGAATATCAAACTATTCCTTTAGAGTATGTGTTGCCCTTAGTGCTACTACTAAATTTACAAACTTCAGCCAAACCAAATCCATTGGTTGAGGGCAACCAGCCCCTCCCCTCAGGCCTCCCTCCATAGCCACTCCCTCAAAACACATGAACGCCCCCCTGCCTGACTACTGCTGGAGGACGAGGGAGCGTTGGGGAGAGATGATCGGCAATAGTATCCAAATAACTCAATGAGTGCATGGGCACGCTGGCCGAATGAAATGATCGGACGGGCTTATAACAGTCCTGTGACAGTCACAGATAACAGATTTTTTTTGTGAGAGCGTTTGTTTTATTGATCGTAGGGCCTGGCAATATATTCATTTTATGTCGATATCGTGACATGAGATTAGATTTTAGATGTTGTAATAAGTGTTGACTTTTGCTGGCTTTAAAAGCTGCATTACAGTATAGTGATGTAACTCTCTGAACTTACCAGAATGTTCAAGCTGTTCTATTATTTGCCTTTATAACAGCTTAGTGATTGTATCCACAGTACTTATGATTATTTCTCAAAAAGCTCTTTGCGCAAAGACTACAATGTCGTCGTAATATCGACATGCAGGTATTTGGTCAAAAATATCGTGATATTTGATTTTTTTTCCATATCGCCCACCTCTAATGGGTTGCTGTCGGGATGTAAAGAGAATTTAAACAAATATAACCAAAAAAAACGCTTCTAAAATAAATTGCCTACCCTAGCTTTAAAATGCACTCATGTGTAAGTGCCAGCCTCAACTCTTGCCGAATTCCAGTATTTTGTATGTGTCGCTCTTCAAATGCTGCGTCATGAAAAAAAAAAAAGCTTCCGCCCACTTTCAGCCAAAAATTCTATAAACCTCGTGTATTGATCACATGCAGTCTCATTACACTGCATACATCATGAACGCTGGCGAGCTGACTGTCCAGCTGCTGTGTTTAATCAGTGGCTGATGTTCCTCCAAAAGGAGCTCAATGCTTACACACACACACAGACACACACACACACACACACACACATATGAAGTGTCCAGCCAAATCAAATCTCAAGGAACAGTTTGTTCGCAGTGTGCGGAGGTGAGTGTGATCCATTACACCAAATGTGGGAATCAAGTCGAAATGCATGGAACGTAACAGTATTACTATAAATACCACACTTTATATTTCATCGCTGCCTCAGACACTTCTCCTCTCTGCTTTTTGACATAATATATCCTGTTGCTAGGTAACTGTTAATTGTTAAAAATGCAGGTACTTCGTAAAGAGCGGAAGGAGAAGGGACAGTGATGGAAGAAAAAGGTAGAGCAGGAGAGTGACAGAGCTCTGTACTGGTGCGACACACACACACACACACACACACACACACACACACACACACAAATAGCTGTGAAATATTCTGCAAACAAAATTTCAAGGATGAAGTGAGTTGAATCACTGAAGGTGACGCTTGCTTTATCGGACTTGTGGAAGAACTGTAGCCCCTCTGTCATCTGTCCTTCTTTACCCCTTTTCTTCTCCGTCCATCCTGCTCCCCCTCTCATTCTCCATAAACCAGTGAACTCTCATCCATAACTCACGGGCCCCTCTTTCTTTTATTACCGCGATGCCCCACCACCACCAGCAGCTCTCCCTCCGTCCTAATAACTCAAGCTGACGCACAATATAAGGGGGCATTGGAGAAAGTAAGAGTGTGGGGGGGGGGGCGAAGTAGGGTTGAAAAAAGGATGGGAGGATGGGGACACAGTCAGTGTTAGAGAATATCAGGCGGGAGACAGGAGAGTAGGGAGGAGTGATGGGGCAAAGCAACGGCGAGAGGCAGACAGAGAAGGTGAGAGGCAGACAGAGAGCAAGGTTGAGCCTCTGACTGGCTGCTGAATTAGAGCTGTTGACGGCTTCGGCCTTCAGATAGCGGCTTCTGTTCAGACGGTCAGACGGTCCAGCTCTCCGAACCCGAAAAAAACAACTGTATATCATTCAGCTAATCCGTGACAGCAGCAGAAACACCGTACACTGTAGCGCAGTTATTGATATTTCCCATTTAAGGCGGTGTTGCAAACTCACATGTGAATCTCTTACTAATATATCTTGTCCACCCCCCCCCCACACACACACACACACACACACCTCACTCCCTCCATCAATAATTTAATAAGTCTCGCTCGCTAGTGTGACTGAAAAATTAATGGGAGCGAGGAGTGAGGGGATGATGGATGAGGAGGTGGGTGTCACCACGGCTGGGTGGGGGACAGGCGGGCTGCTGAGTGCAGGTATAGAGGTGAGAGCAGGTCAGATATTTAGCATACAGAGTGGATGCTAAGCTAGTTAGTCGTAGTGTTGTCCCAGCAGGTAGCCTCGCTCCCAGCATGTATTGCACTGATCAACACTGCAGAGCCCGACTGTGTTTGCCTGGTTTGCTCTTGTCAGCAAGTTTACCATCATGTCTCTGAACTTCCAGGTTCCCTGGCAGACGACTATCTCCTAACTATCTAACTATGGTCCTGTGGGGAGCCACTCCAACTCATCTTCACTCTTTTGGGAGGTAGCTTAAATAGGAGGTAGCAACCTCCTATCCTATTCCTCTATACCCCTCAGTCGGTCACAGTTTTTAAGAAGTGAAGATCTGTAATCTTTTACAGATCATGTTCCCCTGAGGATGAATTTGGTGATCACCTGACATTTGTTTTAGTGCCATCACCAGGTCGAAGTTTTCACATATCCTTTACGAAACGTCTCAACATATACTAGACGGTTTTGGTCAAAATGTTGGACAGACATTCACGGTTCCCAGAGGATGCACCCTAAGTGCTTTGGATGATCCTCTGAGTTTTCCTCTCGTGCCAATACTAATGAATGACATGAATCACTTTGTGTTTAGTGCTTATAAATGTAACACACTAAACTAAGACAGTGAACAAGGTACATGTTACCTTCTAAACATGAGTGCGGTGGCATTGTCATCGTCAGCATGTTAGCATGCTGACATTAGCATTTAGCTCAACGCTGTGCCTCAGCCTCACAGAGCCGCTAGCATGGCTCGTTATACATTCTCACTCACTGTTAAAGGGGTTATTAGGGGTTATTAGGTTTGAGACACTTGGGCAGTGGCTTTTCCTTTTGGCCGTAAAGCAAAATTAACATCGCTCTGCTTTTTGGGCTTCGAGCACAAAACATGTTGGTGGTTGTTTAGTCACGTGTGAAGCTCTTCCGTCCTCCACCTTTGACCGGCTGATATTGCGAGTGATAGTGAGTCTCTAAAAGTGCCTGGCAAAGTAATCGTCGAGTCATTGGTATTGATCAACAACCATATCAAATCATTTTGTACTATGGGGCAGTAAAAACTCTTACTGCATCTTTAAGTCACTCTGGAAAAGATCCGCTCGTTAAAATGTGAAAATGTTAAATTGACAGACTACAATGCCCAGCTGTTCAACGGCGGAGCACAAACTAACTGTTGTTTTTGGATGCGAGGTGCTTTTGTGATGCGAGAGGTAATCACAGCTAATCACGCACACCTCCATATTGAATATGGCTTTCCATTTCAATGAAGCGTCATAATTCAAACTTGGCTATAGCGTTAATGTGTGCACAACGTAGTTAAGAAATGCAATGTTTTGAACGCACACTGCTGAACGAGAGCTAAGGACATTAGCAGCCGAGCTAAATGCACGCGAATTCAGCTTTGATTTTCTCTGGGATGTTTGGCCTGTATCCTCCTGCTTATTATTCACACATTTAAATACTTTTGCACAGGGGACCTGCTCGGCACAAGAACAATATTACACTATTGGCAACTGAACAGCGTTGGAGACCTCTGTCGGAAGATAAATGCCCTTCTCAATGTCAGTTTGATGGCAATTGCCGAGACAGGGGAGGCTTCTTCTTCATTCACTTCCATCAACCAGATTTTTCAATCTGTCCCGCTTCCCCGACCTCAGATAATTATTATGCATTGTGGAAGACTTCCTCAACCCCAGTGTTGATCTCTCCTGGATAAATACGTGTACAATCATCACAGTGTGAACCCAAATGGGTGCCGGAATCGGTTTTGAAATGTAATCACACAACAGGTCTCAGGCAGGTACACGGGCTGCTGCAAAGTCCAGCAGGAGCAGCGATGGTGTGTGTGTGGGTGGGGGGATGGGGGGGGGGGGAGCAGCCTGAGAGAACCCTGAGGGGGCTGGACGGCATCAGACAAGGCAGTGTGGAGCGCCAGCAGCAGTGTGGGTTGTTGAGGGGGCAGACCCAGACCCAACCACTCCACCATACAGTCACCATATGGCCCAGGAATTCCTGCCTGAGAGGGGGAGAGGGAGAGAGGGAGAGAGAGAGAGAGAGAGAGACAGCTTGTGTGTGACAGAAAGATCATGCATTTGAGTCTGTGAAAGGAAGAGGTGAAGGACTCAACGAAGGGTTTCTGATTATGCGTGTGTGTCCACTACAGTGGGCAGGGGAATGTGAGAGCACAAGAGATGCAAGAGAGAGAGAGAGGGGGGGGGGGGATTCTCTGATGCATAAACACACCGGCAAAGTGAAATGAATCAACAGTAAAGTGTCAAGGAGGTCAGAGGGAAACACAACAGGCTTAAAAAGACTCGGTGCCACATGCGTGAAACTTAGTTTTTTATTATTAATACTCAACACTTCATTTTGTTCATCATGTACAAAGAGAAAGGATAGTCTTATTTGAGCACTTATAACTGTAGATATCAGTATTATCCTTATTAGAGGTACCTTAATGTTTTTTTCTGTTTTTTTTGTTGCGACTTTGTCATGACGCAGTTGATTTTTGTTATTGAGATTACTTTGATCGTTTCCATACAAAAAAACCCAAAACAAGGTAAATGTTTCCCCCGATATTCAGTATTTACACAACCTGTACAATTATTTGTTTTTGTGTCGTTTTCTGTTCGTATGGCGTAAAAATTGGGGGGATTATTTCAAAGAAAAGGGCCACAAAAAGAGAAAAGAATGGCCAAGAATAATATTATGTATATCATTATGTATACAATTGACATTATTCATATGTTACATATTGTTAGCCCACAGTAAATCTAATCGATGTGTGTTCACCTGGTGAAATACATTTAGTAGCAACCCCTGATGCCTTTTTCATTCTTGACCGTATGAATGACGACGATGGAAAATAGCAATATTAAACAAACAAAGCTGTACACAATTTAATAGAAAATTTTTGTATGCATCAATATAAAGCAATATCAATACATATTAACACACGCACACACAGATAGATCTTTAAAATATGAGTAAACGGCTTCTGCAAATGAATTAAGAGTGAACTGGAAAATTATAAGCAGCTAAATTACATGGAGCTTCACAACAAAATCAATCGCATAATATCACAGTATAATTCTTCCTATCTGCATGTGACTTGTTGATTAAAAAAAACGACAACAAAAGAAACAACACACCATGATTGAAATATTGATGTCAAATACATTTTCACGAGTCAGTTTAACCGGTACATCGATCCCTGTGGCTGACCACGTCATGCTCTCGTTTGGTCCCGTGTGTCAGTATCCCTGACAGAAAAAAAAAAAAACCCACACACGCGTCAGCAGAGGGTGAGATTTACACCCTCCACCTCCAGGATGTCCCAGACCCGCCGACTTGCCACAGACGTTTGTTGTGTTGTAAAAATGTGACACAGTGGTTGTTGTTGTTGTTGTTTTTTTGCTTTACCCATTTGAACAAATGTGTAGTGGCATGAGAGCCCGGGACCAACCGGGTCGTGAGGGAAATAAAAAAATTAAAAAAAGACTTCTGGCGAGCCATGCTTACTCTGCAGCAGAGCAGCTGGAGGTGGTAAAGGCCTGATGATAGCATGTTTTACCACAGTGTCAGGTGCACCTCGACTCCCCCAACCAGCAGCTGGACGCTGGTCCTATAGCTCGCCCTCCCAGTGCAAAACAAAAACACACAAGTGGAAGGAAGTGATGAATTGGCACATATAGTGTGTAAGAGCTTTGTTTTCTGTTTCGTCATCCGGTTTATTGCAAATGAGGAGAAAGGGTCGCGGTGGCTTGTGTGAAAAAAAAATATGCAAACCCAACAGAGTTTGTACGTGCACGCGGACACATTCTTCACTTTTCAATCAACCCGCTAGACACGAAAGCAGTTGAGGAGAAAAAACAGGAGAGAGATGAATGTCTCTCTCTCAGGGCCGGGGCGAGGATTATAGAGACTTATTGGAATCAGTGCCGTACAGAAGAAGACCGGGGGAAATAACTTCCGACTGCATGGGGGGGGGGGGGGGACAGACAAACTCGCATATGTACACAACACAATTACAAATCATAGATCTCCCGTCTCTCGCACTGAGAAACGAGCGGTGCACAAAAGTCGCACACATATAAATTAGAAAATCCAAAGCTTTTAAGTGTTTCCGTCTGTCACACAGCACAGTTCAGCAACAGGCGAGCTAAACATGTAGCAACAGCGGTTGATTCCCCCCTGAAACGAACCTCCGCAGAAAACGAGACGTGACAGAAGAAATGTTGCACCTTTTAATCAGGGGGTTGCACAAATGCATCTCCGCTTCGAATGGATTCTCAATAGGATGAAACTACACTCGCTGTTGGTTCAATATTGCACTGAAATCCTCTGCAGTATTAACATCAACTCTGGGGAAATGTCCAGCGCGCATTTGTGTGTGTGTGTTTATATAAGAGTGTGTGTGTGTGTGTATCCTTTACCACAGTGATGTATATCCCAAACATAGAGAGGGAACAGGATAGGCCGGGCCCACGATGGCTCTTAAATTCTGTGTGCAATCACCGTTAAGAGCCCAGGTCCAAAAACCCAACACAAACATCCTGTAAGTTTTTGACAAGGATCGCAGCTTAAAAAAAAAAAATGAAGGATCACAATATACTGCCTCTATACGCAAATATCATCTATGTATACACTTAATATTGTATTCCATAAATGTGTAGATAATTGATTTGTCATCTCAAAAAGCATGAAGAAGAGCTTACCTTAAAACGAGAGAATCTAACACAATTCGAGGCAAGCTTAGCAAGGACTCCTAAAACTAAACTTTCCCCTTTTAATCACCAAACGTCTACACCTACAGTAAATTATCCTCGAGTTCCAACACTTTAGTGAAAATATGAAAAAAAAAGCATAATTCTTAACATAATCAGTATACTCATCGGTAAACTATCATAATCAAGTAAACATGAGATTTAAAGAAAAAGAGGTTCAATTATATCACTTATGATTCGTAATATCTGTGTCTTAACTATATTTTGCATATTTTTGTTCATGATGTTTTTTTTGTTTTTCCGAGTTTTTATCGTGGTTTTGTTTATTTCTTAAATTCGCTGTAAAACACATTGAAAGTTACATCCTGTCTGTCTGTTTACTGTACAAAGTGAAAAGAGTTTTAAATAGACTATTTACAGGGAAAAGACTGAACGTACAAATGCCGACGCTGATTGATGCCCAACACTCCGGAGTCTCGTTGCTTATTTCCTCGTCAGTTCCTGGTCTCCTCCTTGCACCATCTCGCTGATAATGGTTGACCTGAACTTTCCAAAATGTGTGCGTATAAAAATTCCAGAGATCCCAATCTATTTATTAGGAGAGTCATCGGGGAGGGGGAGGGGTGGATGGATCTGTTTGATTTAAGGCTAACTCGATCAGTCTCACGTTGATGGTGTTGTCTGTGGAGTGAGGGAAAGAGGAAGAGGCGGCTGAACTTATGAATAGTTATCAGCAGGTTAGTGAGGGGGAAAAGAAAAAAACAGCTGTAATCATTCAATTGTGATTTGCTTCCCTCCACACACACGCGCACGCCAAACCATTTAGATTAGGGTATAAGATAGAAGTCCGCCATGACAAAGATCACACTCCAGCAGCTCCACCACCAGGCCAGCACTCCTGCGCAGTCTCCCGCAGCCCTTGAACTTTTGACACCGCCAGCTAATCGAAGATCAACCCTTTAAAAGAGGCTTCTTTATTCTGTACAGTAATACGATGAGTCACCATCAGACAGCTCTGGGTGTTGGGGTGGGTGGGTGGGTGGGTGATGGGATGATAAGGCATGTCTACTGAGTGCCTGAACCTACACTGAGTAAAAGGTCCTGTGCAATAATAAATGAGGCCTCTCCAGCTCAGAAGCACTATATCTACATCGGTCGGAGTGAAAAGCCGGAAAGCGTTGGCAAGATGGCCGCCTTCCGGACGCCTCTGTCGGTGTTCAAGAGGCCTCTTTCAATTAGACATCCTCCTCTCCTCGAGCTTCAATCGGCATCATCGTAACGGGTGCGACAACATGTCTCCTACACATTTTGTTGCATTTCGCCAACAAAAAAAACCCAACAGTGCATATATTAATCATACACAATGTACAAACAAAGTTTTCTGTGTGCGCGGCTCTCAGACCGGTTACGTGAGTGAAAAGCAACGCCTACGTCGAGAAACTGGTGAGAGAGGCCGGAAAAAAAATAGCGAGCGCCTGGCGACTGCTATCGTGTAACCTGAATAAAAAGAAGTGGTCTGAAGGCTGCCGGGTTGTGAAGTGGGATGCGTCGGCCCGCCCGCGACATATCCTGAAAACATCTTGGTTCGCAAAGCGCCGCTCAAATATCGACGTACGAAATAAATCTTACGAAACCTCCCCTTGTATCTTAACCGTCAGTTGTCGCGTCTCAAGCCTGCCGTAAGTTTTGAACTGCAGTTTTTGGCTCATGAACGTGAAGAGAACACCGAGCAGCCTGAAGGCGTGCCGGTCCCCCCACCCTTTCCGGTGCTGCCTGGCGCTGCGAGGGCCGCGTGTGAACCAGAAGGACACGTCCACTGGAGACCTTTAAGGCACGTCCTTCCTCTCAGTGTCTTCAGCTCCGGACGAAACGCGTCGTTCACAGTAACACAAGTTCAGATGTGTTTAAGTGTGTGTGTGTGTGTGCACTTGTAACGTCTTGAAAACATCAAATGAGGATCTATCGGCTCTAAACGTGTCCCCCAGATCCCGTTTTTGGAGCAAATAAATGTATGAGCATGGAGTAAAATATTCTACAGAACACAGAAAAAAAAGGGAGTTAAGGACTTCAGTCTTTCTGGCTTGTTGGTTGAACTAAAAACAACCTCCCTGCTGCCACCCGGGGCAGACAGGATACAACTACAGATACTAAAACAGTAGTGAAATATTATACCAACAGAACATAAAACAAGAAAAACTTAGTGATATCATAAGCAGTGTTATAATCAGCACGAACGTCTTTGTTATTCACAATGTTATCAATATTATTGTTGTTGTTATACCCTGTGTGTTTTTTTTTCCATAAGAATATCTTATTATCATTCATGATTGTATTTCTCATAGCAAACAAGATCAGCTCTTTTGGCGTCAGGGATGAGGAGGAGGGGGGGAAGAAGAGTGCAGGATGGACAGGGCCGGGCTGTCTCCTTCCAGAGAGAGAGAGAGAGAGAGAGAGAGAGAGAGAGAGAGAGAGAGAGGCACTAGTCATCTCCTCTGTGAAACGTGACAATGTCTCCTTTCCGCGGTGACACAGGGGCAGATGGGCAGCTCGCTCTCGCAGTCTTTCCTCAGCGGGAGCTCTCAGACATCGCACCAGGCTCACGCGTCCAATATCGAACGAAGACGAGGTGTCGCCTCTTTGCGATAATAACCAACTTCTGCCCCGCTGGTGGATGAAGTGATGGACTCGGAGCGGAGTGCATTTTGGTGACGGTGAGGGGACCGTTGATTGACTGTGTTTGAGTAGCTTTGGCCGTTTCTGAGGGAGGGTTAACATCCCACAGCTCCTCAGGGTATCCTGGTTTTGATTTTTCCCTTTTCCTTCTTACTCTCATCTCACTTTTGACAGTCTCTCTCCTGTCTTACCTCATCGTTCTGTCCCAATATGGGCTAGGGTTGCAGTGTGTGGACAGTGTCTTTCCTGATCTCCTAACACCACATGCCCCCCCCCCCACTCCTCCCTCGCCACCGTCCGCTGCTCCTCCTCCTCCTCCTCCTCTTCTTGCTCTTACACGTCAGACTCAATGCTGGAGAGTTTCTCGTACACATGGCCATTGCTTCCATTGAAGGGACGCGGGGGGCCGACCCCCAGCATGGAGCCGTGGTGGTTCATTCCACCGAGGCTGAGCTCTTTCGGGAACCGGGGGGTCGCGTTGGACATCACCCCGGCTGTGGCGGAGTACGACGTCGTGCTCATCTGGCTCCTGAAGTCACTTCGGCTGTTTTTGGCAACTTGTTGCTGCTGCTGTTGCTTTTTCATGTAATATTGTTTGGCTCCGTGCATCAGACACTGGTCGTCGCCAAAGGTGGGAATAAAGGGGTTTTGGTTTACCCTGTCGGGGTAAAGGGATTTGGATAAAGAGAAGCCTCCCCCGCCTCCTCCTTCCATCAAAGACCTATCCCTGTCTCGCATGTCTCTCTCTCCGACGGAGCGGCGGTGGAGGCCCTCGCCGCCTCTGAACAGGCCGAACGGCGAGCCGGCTCCTTTGCGGCCCTCACCCCCGTAAAACAGCGGGTCCCTGTCTCGCTCCCTTTCTCTCTCCGAGCCCCCGTGGCGCTCAAATATGTGCGCGAAAGGGCTGGTGCCCTCCATGTAGCGCTCTTTCTCCTTCAAGCTGACGCTCCTGGGTGGGGGCAGCATCCCTCCCATACCGACACCAGTCATCCCTCCGCCGCCTCCCAGGCCCCCCATCAAACTTCCCATCCCGCCTGACTCCTCCTTCTGAAGGTCGACAAACGCGTCGTACGAGTGCTGCCGTCTCAGCGGTTTGCCGAAGCCTCCTCCCTTCCTCCTCTGCTGGCCCTGAGATTGAGATGGAGGGCCTGCGCCTATACCTCCTCCTCCCACACCTTTCCCTCCCCCCATCTGTTCCAAGAGGTGGTTGTTGTCCTCGCTGATATCGTAGAGGTTTCCTGTCTTTTTACAGCCCTCGCAGCGCATGCAGGTCGCAGAGCTGGGGCGGCTGTTTCCTCCGCCTCCCGAAGTGCCGCAGCTCATGCCGCCACCATACCCTCCACCACCCCCGCCTCCATGCATGGACATCTGCTTGACCAGTCCTCCCCCGCTGGCCCGACAGTTCCTGCACTCCCACTCTCCCCCTGCCAGCCCAGATCCTCCACCAGTCTTTGGATCTGTCTTTTTGGGTTTGCTCTTAAGAAAGTCATCCACTGGAACCAAGGTGGGGCAGGGCCCCACTCCTCCGTCTCTGCCCCCAGGGCCCTCTGTCAGGTCCACGTGTTCCCACTGAGGAACGCCCTCTTTGGGACGAAACTGGTCCAAATAAAAATCCCTAACGCTCTCCTTTTCTCTGAAGAGATAGGAGTTCCCGTTGTTGTTTCCTCCTCCTCCTCCACCTCCTCCTCCTCCTCCTCTCTTCCGTTCGGAGGGCAAAAGCGGTGGGGAGGTAGAGCGGTGGCCGTGGTAGTGGTGGTGGCTGATGTGGTAGGGTTTCCTCCTGTAGCCCAGCTCGATCTCGTCCAGCTCCCGTCTGGACTTGGCAGAGGCCGGCCTCTTTTTCAGGCTATCACGGTATTGTTTGCGCTTCTTGGCATTACCCTCCAGGTTTCCATAAGTCACTGTGTGCGTGGAAATGTCCGAGACATCGGACCGTATATTTCCTTCGTCGTCTCCCCTCCCTCCACAGTAGCCATGCCCCGGGACAAACGTGGAACTTGAGGCGCCTCCCTTGAAGGAGAACTTCCCGTACAGGTCCGGCAGCCCTCCCTTGAAGCCCTGGCCTGATTCTGGCCTGGTCTGTCCAGACAGCAGGTCAAACTTGCTCATGTTCCTGTGGGTCAGCGCTGAGCAGGGCTGGGTGCTGAAAATAGGGGCCACCCCTCCGCCCAGGCTGTCACAGTCGAACATGCCGCCCTCCAGAGAACTAGCACTTCCCAAACTGTGGGGCCGGTTGGCAGGCGGTCCGCTGAGCCCGAGCGTCGAACCGTGGTGGTGCAGGTAGTGGTCCTGGTACAGGTTGCTGTCCTTCAGGTGGAGGTTGCCGAACGTCCTCTCCACCTCGCTGATGTAGTCGCTGAACATGTTGTCCTCCGGCAGGTAAGGGGGCTTGCAGTCCGAGTGGCCCGCCAGGCTGCGCCGGTGTTCAGAGATGTCGTAGACGGAGGACTCCCGGCGGATGAAGTCCAGAGCGCTGTGCGGCGAGCCGTTCACCCCCGACAGGGAGGCCATGTTCTTGGCGGTGCGCAAGAGGCGCATAATGTTGGAATGGGTGTTGTTCATGGTGCCTGATGGGGAGTTCAACGCCGAGCTGCTCTTCTCCTCAATCTGCACCCCGTGGATGCAGCTGTAGATGCCCTGTGTGGGGAAACACAGGCAAGAGGCAGCATTAGAGAGGGAGCATTTGGCCAATTTTACCATTATTTGTCACTAATATTGTACTCTTAAGTTGACAAAAACAAGAAACTGCAGCAGCATTGCATCCTGACCGCCCTCTTCTTAAAAGCCCAGATGCCGCAAAATGAGTACAGTTCCTGGTGATGCTATTAATACCTTGCTCAATAAATACAGTAAGTAAAGCAGATGTTACATGTCATTTATAGACAGTGGCATGTAGTATATCAGCTGGTCTGCGATAAAGTGAGATGGTGCAAGTGAGCGTACAGTATGAAGATTCAGAAAGGGACAGTGTAGCTGCACGGTGGATGATTGATAAAGGCAAAGGGGCTGTAAACCCCCCCCCCCCCCTGGGTCCCACTGGCTGGTCAGCACCTTCAATCAATGTGATTAGAATTCAGCTGAACAATATCCTCCGGCAGTTATTAAACACCTTAGTTCCCCCTACCGCTCAGCGCCGCGGCGGCACAATCTCCTCCGAAAGAGAAAGGCCACACTAAGGAGGACGCCGGCTGAGCGCTGCGGTGACAGAAAGATAAACGGCACCATTTGCATTCAGTGATGTACGATACAATATTCAGATAAAAATGGATGCGCGGAGGAGATCAAACCAGGCATGACGGATGAGGACGGTAAAGGATCAGATCAATCCCAAACAACGATTTTGCTCAGTTTTTCCGGACGTCTGTGGAAATAAAGGGATGATTCTGGCCACTGTCAAAGATCAGAGATCCGCTGACCTCCGTCCTGAGAAGTTAGGGGGTCAGCTGGCTGTCAAATCCTCTCTGCTGTTCAGCTACGACTCTTCCCAACCTCCTCCTTTTGTCCACTACTACGAGTCGTTGACCCTCAGCTCTCCTCTCCCTGGCCGCTCGCTCCCGCTAGTCAATTAGCTACATGGACAGAGCCTGCACTGCAGCAGAAAAGGCCTTCATCCCTCATTCCACTTTTATGGGTTGTTACTTCGTTCAATTTCACAGTCTGTTAACAGCCAAGTATGTAAAGCTTGATCATGGCTGAAAACTAAGACAGGTTAACACGAATACAAAAGGACTCATACGTGCATTTGAGGCTTTGGATCTTGAAGTGGAGGACAAATGTGTCCGCCCACCTGCATGATATTTCAGGGGTACAGAAGCATCTTTCAATGTTTATCTGGTCCTTCGCTGTCTCGTCTGTGTTTCTTTTTTTCCATCTGCCTGTTTATACAATTTGTCATCACTTCATATCTCTTGTTTTTCTTCTTTCATTGTCTTGATTACACCCCACCTGCTGCCAAATCTGTCACGTCTTCCCTCCCATGACATTTATGGGACAGCATCCCATTCTGGGCCTGGCTTTTCCAGAAGCATCCACCTATATCTAAAGATGATGCCCCCCCCCCTCCCCCCACACCACCACCTTTTAGGTTTTGACCTTTATAGACGGCAAAGTTTGCGTCGCATTGAGCAGCGATGGCGTTAGAGAGCAAGCTTAAGATGAACGCTTGTGTGGTTTTTAAGCTTTTTCCTTTAGGCGCACACACACACACACACACACATGCACAAATAAGCAACAAGAAGTTAATACTGTAGTGCATCAAACCTCGGACATTTAACAAAGTGATTGCTGCTTCGTATTCAACAGCAGATTTCCTCTACCCCGCATGCCCACAGAATGTAACAGTTGGCAGATTGCTGCCGGCCCGGCGCTACTGTAGCTGATTATTCGGGCAGGATGTGTGAATAGCAATAACTGTGGCCTGAGGCTTGCAAAGAATTTTCAATCCACTGGGGGAATCACAGCAAAATCTATAAGTGATTAGACTGGAACAGAGAGGCAGGAAAACTAATAAACAAATAACTAGCTGCCCCTATGTACGCTTGCATATGCTGCTGAGTGCCTATTGTACAGCTGAGCTGCAGCTCACAATTTCATAGTGCTTGCGTGTGGCGTAAGGATATGGGGCTAAATGCAAATGAACCCCGCCATGATGTAATGCAAGGGCTGTGAGAAGTAGGAGTGATTAAATCCCTAATACATTTACTGTTCTAAAGCCATTAGAGGCTTTTTAAATCAATATAATTAATTAGTTTGAGCGTTTGCAGGTGGGCCCCGGAGGAGCAGGTAGCCGGGGGAGAGCCGCTGAGCCCCTCTCGCAGGGCGGGAGCGCTAACCGACCGTGAAGCCATGACCGAAGCCACGTGACCCGCGCCGACCGTGACAGATGTCTCGTTTTTTTACACCGCCGAGCTTAAATGTTAATTGCAGCAATAACAATAAAGTTTATTGGATTATGCTGTGAAATTAAAAAAGCGGAATTAATCTGAGTCGCAGAGTAAAGGAGGGGGGGAGAAATGTCCAAGACTGGTAAGGAAACACTTGAGTAAATGAGGAGACAATGCGAAGCTGTGGCCGAGGATTTTGGAAAGATAATAAACCGTAGATTACACTATTGTTTCGCAACGCCCAAGCTTGCTGCTACATATGCAAATGAACACTGGATGAACATTTCCCCCCGAATATTTTAACATACTGATTCATCTGGCTGTATTCGTGGACACTCGCCGTTCATTTACGCTGTCACATTGTAGCAGAGACAGAGGTAATTTCTGCAAATGAGAGCAATAACTGGATGTTACACCAAACATAATTGCTTTCAGATTCAGTCCCCTTACAAATTCTAATGATGTAATAACAAAAATACCAAAAAAAAAAACACACAGACCAGCCTGTCTTTGGAAATGAGAAGTCGACTGACATTTTAGCAACTGATATTTCATGCTCCTTCATCGCAAAACAGAGGCGGACACGCGCACACCACCATAAACAAGGCGACAACGTCAAAATTAACACCCCACAAAATAATCAAAGTTGGGCACTGGAGCGTAATATTAGAGCAAAATGTGTTTGTTTTTTCCCCCCGGTAGCCTTGCTTTCTTGGCACAAGCAGCTCCGACACCACGGCAGCATATCAAATGTGAGGGGGGGGGGGGGGGG